GGCTAATTGCAACTACATAGCTTGAAATTATTTAGGTATTAAATTAAAACCTGCATGCCAAGATTATGAGATTGCAGTTGTTTTCCTTTTTATAATTTTCATATTTTTTTTTTTTTTAACTTTTTCATAGATATATTTTTTTAACTTCTTGAAACTTTAAAAGTAAATTCTTTCAGGAGTTACATGTAAAATGAAATGTTTCGATTACAGTTTATTATTTATAGCTTTGATTTATTCTTTTAATTCTATTATTTGATTTATTCTATTACTTATGTTATTTGATTTATTCTGTTATGGTTAATTATTCACTCCTATATACATATCTAAAGCAATATATGCGTTTTACTTATTGTTAAGCCACCCTGACTGATAAAGTGATCAGCGTTCTTGCTGCCGCAACACTGAGATTAGGTTCGAATTCTGAAAGAGGCTAATTTGTTTCCTAAATTCTTCAATGCTTATCTGAAGCTTGATTCATTTCCTCGTTGCTGGAAGATAGTAAATGTCGTTTTAATCTCTAAGAAAACTGGTCTTCGCATTCTGCATTTAGATAATCTGAGATGCATTGGTTTTCTTCCCATTTTAGGAAATGCTTAAAGTGGGAGGAAAACTGTTTGTTAAACTTTCAAAACTGTGTGTGAATAGAATTGCTTGCGTTCTAGATTATAAAATCTTTTGGGTAAAGCACAGTTTAGTTTTACTCATCACAAAAGCTGTGAAGATGGATCTGAGAGACAATGGATGAAGGTAAGAAGAAGAATTTACACACAATTCCCTGTTATTAAAGATTCTTTTGACAATGCTTAGTGACCTGAGATACTTGCCTTATTAAAGAGAGCTGATAAGGATTTTTCGCCTTATTAAAAATTTCCTCTGTATTGCCTTTCTTGGCCCTGTTTCTACTTCCCACACTTTGGAAAGAGTTTGCACTGTAGGCTCCGTTTCTAGGTCCTTTGGCTTCATTCAGACGACGGTTTTGTCGTCATGAAGCTTTGTGGTTGTATAAAAGGGTGTTCTTAGGCTTATTAGAAAGAGTATCGGGACATTTACCTTGGGGGGGGGAAACCTGTTTTACAGGGGAAAAGCCAGTCAGGGAAGGGAACTTCCCTGACGCGTAATGGCAGACCGCACATTGAGTTGAACAGTGTTAAGCGAATTTCGCTTACTGCGCATGCTTGATGGTGTACCTTTGGCGCGGGAAGAAATATTGGCGACTAAAAGCAACCCTACGCTAGCTCATTCGTGATCTCCATGGCTGTCGAGTGATGTGTACAACTGAAATGTTGTGGAACTTTGTTTATTAGTTATTTTAACGTTCATACCGATTGCACTTGCTTATTTTTCTATGTTTTATTTTAATTTGTCTAACAGTGCATTTAATAATTGTTACCATATATTGTGCTTAATAATTCGTTATTTAGATGTAATTTGTTTACATGTTGTAATTCTCAGTAATGTAAACTGAATTTTCCCGCTTAGTTTGTTAACGTATATTCGCGCTTTTATTTCTTATTTAAAAGAATTAAATAAACAGCATTAAGGAATTGTAAAATTTCTTCAATGTTATTTGCAAACACTTGCTATATTTTTTACGTATGTCCGTGTTTCTTTGCGTATGTACGAATGTAACGTATGGTAAATTCTGAATTGTTTTTATTCCTTAAAAGTGTAACTAATATATCCTGAATTTCAGTCTTTTTTCTGAGCGAAAATTCGTACAATTCCAAAGTGAAGTGCAGAATTTCATAAGTATAACATCTTACATTTTGAATGCAAACACTGCTTCACATTATTTCGTAATAATTATTTACATCTTCTCCATCTATGCCTGTATCAATTTTTTCATCGGGTTATTTATCAATAATTCCTGGTAGAATTAGAAATATATTATTAGAAAAGGTTTTTCCTGTATCATCTGCAAGGAACAGAAATTTAAAGCGATGAATTATTGGAATGAATTTTAGCCAGCATTTGAAGTTATTTAGATTTCTGTTGCATTAAAAATTATTTAAAAGCTGCATAGAAATATTATTTTGAAATGCAAACATTTTAAGTACCAAAATTAAAAGTATTTAAAAGGTAGCTATTGTCATTGATGATAGATTAATTGACTTGTCAAGGGAACCAAACCAAAACTTCAGTACATAAACAATATATTTTTTATTCTGGGGGGTGAACATTGTTATTAATGGTGATATAATCAAATAAATAACAAAGAATCTGCAAGTGAAACGTATTTTACCATTTCTTTGAATTTAGATATTTTTCCGAATATTCCAAGCATTTAAAAGAAATATATTTTACATATTTTGTAACTGTGAATGTATTCGTAGTTCCGGAAGTTCTGAATATCTGCAGAAACACATATTTCGGTCTATGACTTAGCTGGCTTAGTTAAGTTAAGAAATAAATTTTTCCTTTAATATTAACAAATGATTATATATTAATAAAAAATTGGTACATTTGTAATTCCCCCCAAAAATTCTTTAAGAGTGGCAAATACGTACATAAATTTGATTCCTCCCCAGTATGTGTGACGAGTACGTTCCATTAGACTTCATGATTATTTTGTAACAGCTCTACTTATTGCCAAAATTGGGTCTTTATGCATATATATATGTATAATGCATACAACATACATGCAATTATGATAGCTGTTAATATATCATAATTGACTAAACACTACGAATACTGTTTCTCTTTCAAGACATGTACTCTCAAATGTTTTCATAACAACTTCTGTATATATTTAGGAAAAATTCTACTGATAAAATACTACACACAGAAATATTTTTAAAATGGTGTTTAAGAATGCTGTTGATTTTTCAGAGACACAGTAACAATTTAACTGGTTATAACCTTAACAGAGCAGAGATGTCAAACAGAAAAAGAAATGCCATTAGAAATGCTCAAATGCCAAATTAAAATATTTGATCATAAAACAAATGCAATTACAGTTAACTTATTTTCGAACTTGAAGATTGATTATCAAGTATAAGTTAATGTTTAATAAAAGAATTTCATGAAAACAACCTAAATTTGAAGTACAATTAAAATAGCTTAGTACAATGATTTTGTCAATGTATTCTTTATGTTTATTTATGGGAAATTAACAGAATATAACCTATGTTATGAATATAAAGGTAATTTTTATTTTAAACTCTCGCTAATTAAATATAAAACAGTTACAAAAGTCTGAATATTTGGTGTAAAATTCGATTTTTCATTATTAAGATTAAATGCCTTTTCCACCGATTACTTTTCTTGATTTAATAAATCTCCTTTTGGTCTTTCTTACACCTTATACGAGTTTCACCCACTTTGGTAATATATACTGTGTGAGAAATCTGGAAAACGTAAGCGACTTCTCGTTATGTTTTGGAAATTACAACAGAGGTTTGGAATAGGTGTAAAAAAAAACCTTTTATAGACTCGGGACAAATTAACAGAGTGCACAGCTTGTTCATACAGAATCAGCTAGCATTTATGGCGTAAATCAAAAGTAACGAAATGAATTCACCTCATTTGAATACACTCAAAATTAGCATCCTGGCAGGAAAATGGAAAGGAAGAAAGAAAAGCTAATTATCATAAAATAGCAGGTTAATAAAAATAAATGAGAACTCTACAACCTCAATTCACTATTTTAATTTAGCCATTTTCATTTTTATGCAGCCTTTATATCGAAGTATGCATTTGTTTTGGTGTCAATAAACTTAATTCTTTCATTTTTTACCCGATTACATAACATCACATGCAACAGCTGTAAATATTAAAAACACATGCATATATCCAGCAGCATGTTAATTTCTTTTGAATATATGGTGTCTGTCATACAAAAGAAAACTGTAAATTCAAAATATAAGATGTGAACATAGGTCTTCTGTTGGATAATATAAGAAAGTCACACTTTCTGGTATTACTATTATTTTTTATTATTTGTAGGACCTCAGGTCCAACAAATAATAAAAAATAATAATTAAAAATTAAACATTGTGTAGAGAGTAAAAAGCATAACGCAGAAACTTGTTGAAAAATTAACATGTATATCACTTTGCCTGAATGTTATGGTCAGAATCCCATTCTGTATAATAATATATGCTTTTGACATTATTAGGTATTGCTAATTAAATTAACATTTAAATACTTCAATGAAATATTAAGAAAATGAGAAAAATTATGAATACTACTTACTATATGATATGAATTTTTTTAAAAGTGAGCTAATTAATAAACAAAGAGCAAAATATATAGTTCCATATTCCTTACGCTGAAGTCTACTTCATGCTGATTATATCATCATTAGTTATGAGGGCAGAACATTTGTGGTCTTCACCTTGCAAAATCATGAGGAACATTTTAATAATATAGGAAAATTTCATATAATGGCTAGTAGCTGAACTGAATGAAATGAGTATTTTAAATTCACTAGAAATTTAGGGTCGTGTAATGTTTAAATATTTCAAGTTTTGGAAGAAACTATTTAAAATGTCTTCTTTTTTGGAGGTGGGTTGCTTTAACTGCTTTTGGGCTACAGATTCCAGCCATATAATCTCATAAATAGGATTTAAAGATTAATTTTTTAACCCAGGCAGATCATATTTCTTCATATGAAATTATTGTTCAAAATTTATTCACTGCCTTACTTATTCATTACACACAGTATATTCATATACTAATTAATCATATATTAAAACAATATTCAAATACTAATAATTAAATCCTTAAAAAATGTTCCTCCATTAAAAGGAAAAACATTTTAAAATGTCCAATTGAGCAGTATTTATTTTACCTCAAAATATGTCACTCTTGTATTATTTTTCAAATTCGCTATTAATACATGAATTAAGTAAACTCAAGTATTATTTAGAATTGAGGATTAGTGATATGGGATGTTTAGAATGTTCAGGGTTTTATGGAAAAGTACTACTGAATGGTAAAAAGGTTTATTAAAATTCAAATACAGTAATTCAATGAAGTAATAATGAAAACATACATGAATTTACAATAACATAAGTTGCAAAATAAACAGAATACAGGAAAACTCGCATAAATTTACAATAATACGAAACAATTAAGTGTTATGAGTAATAATATTAGTCAGATTTTTCTTTATAGTTAAATCTTCATTTTCATTGCTCTTTTAATATCTTGTGTTGGTGGTTGGCCTGCACGCATTCTTTAAGAGATAATCTCTGTGGCACTTCATCAAACCCTAAATTGTTGAAACAAACATTACAAATGCTAACTTGTAATGACATTAATACATGCATCATAACAAATACACAATGAATATTAAGAAAATGTTAATGTACCAATATTTCTTGTTTCAGTAGTATCAATTATTGAAATATCATAAAAGAGGAATTAGACATTTTTGATTAAACATTCAATTATACATCTATCAATTTCAGTGTTATAGTGTGGGCACCAGGCGAGAGACACACTAATCCCCTCGAAGAGATTTCTGATTTACAAAATAATTTTGGCAGTAACTTGTAAAGGCTAAATAATATTATCAAAAAGATACAATTCTTAAGTAATTATGTATATTTTGCAGAAATACTTTGGAACTGTTTGAGCTGGTATTCGTGAGAATCCTTGAGTAATTTTTTGAATGCAGAATAGTTTAACTGAGAAACAACAGAATGCAGCCAAATGATATCCCTAAGTATTATTTCATTTCACTTTCTAATGCATGCATAATAGCATTAATTAAGAATTTAATAAAAACATTAAAAATAATTACATGAAGCAAGATCTCTAAAATTTCAAAATTGCATATAAAAATCTAGTTTAATATCTGCAATACATTTTTAACTCATCATATTTTTCATAAATTTAACTTTACAATCTAAGACTAATTACAATAAAGCATACTTTATGACACAAGAATATGAACTTCCAGATAATGTGTATCATTTAGTCTGAGATTAAAAACTATGCTAGGAAACATTCTGGAAAACCATATTTAATACGTTTTAAACTATTTTACTTTCCTAGATAATCTCATCAAAATTATTAAATATTCATCAATCTTTTCATCGTCAGTTTCTGTTACCTGCCAGCGAGGTAGAATGTATTCACCAAGACACAAAGAATATGTATTACATACATGTAAAATAGAAAATACAGTGGCTTTGCTCTGCGCGAGCATGCAACCTATAATTAACTTACTGCAGTTTCAGGATCTTATCCTAGACCAGTACTTTCGAGAACATTCTGGCACATGTTATATAACCGCTAGTACACATACTGAATACGTGCCATTTTTCGTCAGACATCTTTCTTCTACCGCTGCTACAAGACCTTGCAGCTGCTCCTCCCATCTTGTTCTTTCCTTTGTTAAAGCAGATATGACATAAAGTCTAAATTTAATCTTACTTAGTTTAAATCAATATTGAATATATAATTTTGAGAATTTCATCTAAAGGCAAAATGATCTGCTGAGAGAATTGAATAAAGATGTGGGATCTAAAAAGCTAAATCCTTCTTTGTCGTCATTTTGCAACCTTCTATCCAGCCATTAACAATGCCTGGCCATACAATGATGTAGTTATATTGTCAAGCTTTGGTCATTCCTGTGCCTGCCAAAATATTACATATACACGTATGAAAATTATTATTATATGTACATAATGTATAATATAATTTTCATACGTGTATATGTATGTTTTCTAATGATTGTTTTGTCACAGTAATTACAATAAAAGTCTGAAATATTGCCATGTCTTGCAAATTATCAACTAAATCTGTACACAAGAATTTTCCATTAAAAATTTCTGTACAGACCTGATAATCATTATATATACTGCTCTTTGTATAATGTACTGAACTGTAAAGCTCCAGGTATACAAAACATTTCAAGACACTCGATATTTATTCTGTTGCAGAAGCAAACTGTTTATTTTCAATATATATAACAATAAGCAAAGATGATACGTGACAAATCTTTCAGTTCTATAATTTTTATATCTAATATTCAGTGCACTATTATGCTAATAAGCAATCTTTATTCTCAAATCCTTGCATTATATGTTGGTGATTATGGGTGGTCTATTATTCATCTGTTTTCTTATCCGTCATGGCGACTACACTAAGTCTGTTAATCAAAGCTCAAATGTATGCCTGTCTCGTGTAATTTTAAAGAAGATTGAAATATTTAAGATATTTGAAGGAAAGATAGGTTAAATTACATAATAATTATACATACTTTGCCTGTGTGTTTAGAGTCAGACATAATATTCAACAACTAATATGCTTGAAAATGCCCAAGTGGGATTTGAATGGCTTCAATAACATATACTGGAAAATTAAATAAAAGTATTATAAAAATATTGCGCCCATTTGGATGGCTTAAATAATAGTTGTGTAATAAAAGAACATTTTAGGTTTGATATTAACTAATTAATTTTTTATTTTATTTTATCTCTTTGACCTTTAAAATGAAGAGGTAATGTTTCTAGTTGATATTATGTGAAAACCTGAAAAGCAAACAAAAACTACACTAAATCTAAAAATGTTTCCAAAGTTCACGCATCTGCAAGAAACTAATAAGGGCAACAATGCCTGATTAACTGAATTTGTTGGCAGATGATGATTCAAATCTGAATATAGAAGACATGTAAACAGTATAAAAGCATATCAAATTTATATCAGTGTACGAGTCATCATATATGTGAATGAGTGCGTACTATAAATTAACTACAAGTCTTACTCTGAACTATTTAGTATGCTTATACACTAATTTTTGCATTTTCTTAATTCATATTTTTAATTAGCATTATTACAAAATTAAATAATATCTGTAATAATTGTAACTGAAACAATTGTATTTGAAATTTCACCTCTTTCATAATAGCCATAATTGCCTAGTACATATTCATTAGCAAAGCATACAATTAAGTGCTTCACAGTATTATTAACAGTAAGGATGCTATCACACGTTAGTTTGTTTCGGAAGGATAACTGTTTGGCACAATTTTTCTGCTTTGTCACAACAGCCAATTATCATAGATCACTTTGGGGTTAACATGGGAAACTGGTTCCCCATTACAAACAAGCTGATAGTTGATTGATTGAAAACGAACAATTTGCAATTTTTTTAGAAAGGAAGGAAAACGTTGCATGTCTTTTTTTCAATAGTAAACCAGGCAGAAAAATTGTCCGAAACAAGTTGTTCATGTGAAACAAATGCCGTGTGATAAGGGTCTCAGACATCATTACTTACATCTAACATTTCACTTCCAGAAACAAGGGTCAAAATTTTTCAGCTGCCATTCACTGTGCCAATGCCTGAAATTAAAAAAAATCATTTTATAAAAATCTTTAAAAGGATGATTCAAGTATTGAAAAATCTTAGATCATAACTTGGTCATACACACAAAATATATTATTTTTTATACCAATAAAATAATATGTTGTTCAGTGCTGAATGAATTATTTAACAATAGGAGAGAGTCAATGGTTGTGAAATCACATCATAATAATAAGAGAATTTATAAAAAATGAAATAAGGGGTTTTATTTAAATTTTATTATTTAGTTAAGAATAATTATCCTACTAACAATATACAAATAATTCATATATTCAACTCTGAAACACACTTTCTACAACTTATCTTTGGCTACTATAGTCTGTGTAGTCAGCTTGACAGAAACAGTCAGCAAATGATGATTGACAGTCATAATTGTTATCTTGTCGTCCTGGTACATGTGCAGTACATGTACATGTTTTCCTACAACTTGCATGATTGCATACATACTTTTTCACAGCAGAAATATACAATTTTATGAAGAACTAATTTGCAATAATATATAGTATACATGAAAACAATCCAAGTATACTTAATATTAAAGTGCAATTTTATGTAATCATTGATGAAAATTACATACATCAAAATAAACTTTATTGTTGACTTTACCATTACTTTAGGATTATTAAAAATCATCATCAATTCCTACATGCTGTACAATCATCTGCCTTTTAAAAATAGAACTTGTTACATTTAATATTTCAACAGGTTTTTCTATTCAATAGATATTTGATAATATAAGGAGTTAAGTAAATTTGAGCTAATTATATTTTATTTTTACCAATTCTTTACAGTTATACCACAATTCATTACATTATTTTATATTAACTTCAACCAAAACATTTCAGCACATTTGAGATAAAAGTACCTTGCATCAGTTTTAGCTGTAATAAAATTACGCTAATAACTTTCTTCTTGAAGTTTCTCGAAAATGATGTTTCTTTTCGAAAAAATTAAAACAGTAAGGAAACAAATTTCTTAAAACATCTTTCTTAATGCTACATTATATAGAAATTTAGGAAATGTTAAAAAATGTTAATGAACTGTATATGTGTTAAAATACAATATATCACATATTGCACATATAACATATCAAATTTACTGAAATGGGAAAATATATACATACCTGAAAGCAATCTCGCAATAGCATTTGGTTTGAAGCTCGCGCTATCCACTGGAGCATCTGCATTTACGCTACTTCCTTTACCCATTTTGTGCACTCTTCAATCGAATTCAAACTTGATCGTATCGTTCAACTTTCCAGTTGTTGGAGCAGTACAGGAAAAAAATCTAATTTTACACAGTAATTACTTTACATTGCACATATACTCTACGAAGACTTAAACGCCGGATTTGTTTACAATCAGATGGCGGTACATCTACCACATACCGTATTTATCCTCTTTTCAAATCGCGCCAACATAATAATTACGCCAAATTTGTTTCTGGGCATGCGCAGTATGCGACATTCGTTTAACACTGTTCAACTCAATGTGCGGTTTGCCATTACGCTTCCCTGACTGTTTGTTAACAACTAGCATACATTAAAAATACACAAAAGTATGCAGTATTACATAAATTATATTATGCAGTATTATATAAAAGTATACATAATATGTAGTATTACATAAAAGTATGCAGATTACATAAAAGTATGCAGTATTACATAAAAACTATGCACGCAGTCATACATGTCTTTGAAAGTCAGCTAAAGCCAGTCAGGGTAGGGAAAGTTATACGTGCATGAATGTGTAGCTAACTCAGGGAAACCATTGCGTTTGCTTCGCTGCGACAGGTAGTTCTTATACGAACTTGGCATAAAGTTGAAAATTTAGAACTTTTAGGCAAAACCCTCAAACCAGTTTTCGTGACATAGCAAGGTCTGGTTGCTTAGAAACAAAGCTCGGCTTAAACCTGTTATGACTTTAAAGCTACCGTGTGATCGAAACTTTATTGTGGAATTTAGTTATAAATGATCTTCTCACTAGACTGTCCATTGCTCAGGCTGTATAGCATTTGTTTTTGCTGATGATCTAATGACTTTTTTTTTTTTTTTTTTTCCAAGGTAAATGTCCCGATAGTCTTTCTAATAAGCCTAAGAACACCCTTAGTAGGATTTTAGATTAGTCTAGGGAGCAGAAATTGGAGTTTAATCCTAATAAATCTAAAACTTACAGCAATTAAAGAAAGAATATCAGATGCATAAACCCGCAGTTGTACTTTAATAATATTTTACTCGAAACGGTTAATGAAATTAGATATTAAGGTATTATTCTTAATCATAAGTCTTGCTGGAAAAATCATACGTATTTGTCCAAAAATGTTAAAATATGCTTAGAGAACTTATTCATGTCTCTTGTAAATACTTTTGGTTCAAAGTTTAATATTGTTGGTATGATTTATAAGCAGGGTATTTTTCCTTTTGTTCAGCTTCCAGAACAGCTTTAGAAAAAAAGATGAATTCCCCCCCCTTTTTTTTCCCCACAGCATCCAAAAAAAGAATTTTACTAAGAGTTGAGCGTAGCTACAAAATAATTAATTATGAAGCCTCTTTCCAAAATGTGAGGTTTCCGCAGATCGAATCTTCATGTTTTACATGATAAAGAGTTTAAAGATAATAATAGCAAACCTACGTTCCGAAGCAAGGTGTTATTTGAGGATCTTTTTCATCCTGCTGTTCGTTAGCCAATTCAAACTATAATTTACGTCAATTCCGTGAAAGATAATTTCCCAGTTGTGTGTTATACAGATGGCAGTAAAACTGATAATCGAGTTGGACTAGCTTCTGGCGTTTTTCTCATAGTTCTGAAGTAGAATACAGATTCTATAAAATTCTCTCAATGAATGCTGGTATTTCCAAGTCGAGGTACTGTATATTGGTGGATCAGTTCAATTGATATCTATTCGTTAAGTTTAACTTACATATTTGCACTAAGGGAATGAGACTATTCATCGTGGCCGTTTCTGCGTGGCCATTTTGCCGTCTGGATGTTTCACCGTCAATACATATTATACTTTACTTGACTGTATTATATATCCATATTTTCTAGAGTATTACATAAAAAGTATGCATTCTGTTGTTAGAATTATAATTTAAATTTTATATTTCGTTAATCTTGAACATTTTAACTAAATTAAAATTAGTAAATTACATGGTAGATTTTTTTTGACGAAAAATATTTTAAAGAAGTGTAATTGAATTTCCACCAACTGAAACTGAAAGAAGAAGGGAAAATTTTTTAATTCATCAAAAATTCGATTCAACAACAAAAGTTTACGCCAGTTTTTGATTCAGCATTTTGACATTAATTTGAATGACAATGAAATTTTGAATTTTCAACGTTCTACTGTACACTCGTATATCGCATCAGAATTATAATTTTTCAAAATTTTTTATCAGTTTATTATTTATTTCGTATTTGTTAATAGCACTGTCAAAAGCGACTGAAATGTTGCCACTTAGTTAATAAAAACTAAATTTTGAAGCAAAGGAGATGAAAGAAAAAAAAGATGCACTTTATGAAGTGATTTCTTATTACTTGGAAGTTTAATTTTAATTGCGAAACCAATTGTGTTGTCTATGTTGCGCAACTTGTCACATGACGAAACGGGACTACACCGTCTGACGTTCGCCCGTTTAACAGGTACTCCCAGCTGCGGAATGAGACTGTTTTACTTCCTTGACCGAATTCCCCATGAAATAGGACAGGGAGACTACAAGCCTGAAGCGCCATTTTTCTCGTTCTTCGACCCTGCTCTTTTTTTTTTTTTTTTTTTTTTTTTTTCCCAGCTTTTTCTTTTTCATCCATGTTGGTAAACACGCGCCAATTATCCTTGTTTGCAAACAGACCCTGGAGTCTTCACTAGCACAAAGCGTGTGTCGGTGCGGTTACAGTTACTGAAGTTTAAAAAAGCGATACAAAACAAGCGGATATTGAATAGGCAAGAAGTTATAATATACGCCGTTTAAATAGGATGATCATAGGCACAGCTCTGAACGGGAGAATATAGTTCTTTTCAAATTTCACTGCTGTCCGGTCATTTTCATAAATATATCAATTTTGTCCCACTGAAAAAAAAAAAAAAAAAAAAAAAAAAAGATGTGGACACTATATGACTTTCTCGTACGGTCCATTGAATTATACACGCTTTTTGCTGTATTTAATTTAAACTTATTTCCTCGAGTTATCTAACTTAATTCATCGATTCTTTAAGCCAAGCTGAAAATGACATCAAAAACTGCAAAGTTTAAAATTAAATATCGTGGTCGGTTTTTGTCGTACGGGAGTCAAACTTCTTGCAGTTTTATTTTTTCATGACGAGTGAAAAACTTTCCCAAACGGTTACTATTATTTTTTTTAATTTGGTATTTCCAAAAACATGAATATTTTTTATGAATATTATGACTATTTTTCGCCATTTAGAACACTTCTGTACTGGAAGTCTAGGATTACGAGCAAAAATTGCGTAAATAAAGGCCGGGTAAGGACTTTTAAACCAGGTGAGGGGGTGAGTGTATATATATATGTAAGATATAACAAAATATGATAGCTGTTTCAAAATATAATTGATGACCTCAAAATTAACATTCTAAATTTGATGATCTACCCCTAAATTCATCTCTTCTCACAGGTTCCAGAGTTTTCTATCTTACGTAACGTTTTAAAAGAGTACAGAGTCTAAAATTATTATTGAATTCAAAATTTTATCACATTCAGTGAAATGTCAAAATTGATTCAAAATAACGGTCAAAATTTTATGACAATAATTTTTTGTTTAAAAGTTAATATGTTTGTATTTTCAAAATTATATCTTTCACATTTTGCTGCTCTAATGCTTGTTCTTCCACCCTGCTCACCAAACTTTTCTTTTGAAGGGGGGGATATGTAAGATATAACAAAATATGACAGTTTTTTCAAAATATAATTGATGACCTCAAAAATAACATTCTAAATTTGATTATCTACCCCTAAATTCATCTCTTCACACAGGTTCCAGAGTTTTCTATCTTACGTAACGTTTTAATGCAGATACCTCTTGTCCAATCAAATTAATTCTAAACCAAAACTGTGAACTGAAACTTCCCCACTCCCAGCCTTCTTCCTATGAAAGTACTATAACTTTCCCTTTTCCGCGTTAGCTGTCCTGCTGGTAAGACGCTGTTCATCCATGCAGCTGCCACTTACTTGCTTAAGATGACGTCGTACTTCAAAATGGGAGTTATTCTATTCAAATATTATTAAGAAATATCTTGTCTGAAAAAAGGATTATTTGATATGCATGGAAAAAATAAAGATTGTGATTTTTCAAGATATGTTGTGCTAAATTGTGTCATCATGCTTTCCACTCTGCCACCTTCAAGCCACTACGGTCTTCTCGGTCATCTACGCAGTATCGTAAGCTGTTGGGAGGTCCACTGCTTTCATCTACGTATTTGAAATCATTACATATATATAATATATATATATATAAAGGGAATAAAACTGCAGTAAAGAAGGGAGTTGAACAACGAGGTATCATATAGCAGATCTAGATACAAAATTTCAACGTTCTAAGGCAAATCTTTTTGAGTTATGTGAGATACATATGTACACTGCTCAAAAAAAAAAAAAAAAAAAAAAAAAAAAAAAAATGGGGCAGTGCTATATCTCCCGTTCTACTGGGGCGATTCACGAAATTCAAATTGCGTTCTTCATGTCTCGAAAGCGCGACTTAGGATATATATTAGATTTATATATAGCACTATTCTAACATAGGTATTTTGACACAAAATCGGACTTTTTCTGAAATAACATACCAATTTTTTTACATATTTCGATTCTATGACTCAAATTATGCCAGAATACCAAGTTTTGTAAAAATCGTACGAGTAGTTTTTGAAATATTATCTCTCAAAATTTTAGCTCCTCAATGTTAATTGAATTTGGCAAATATTTTATTTATATCTCTTTTTTTATTAAACTTTTTAATTTTTTCTCTCACATTTCGAAATTTAGGTTCATTCCAAACAAAATTTACCCATTTTTTGTGTTTTATTTTTTAAATTTCTATTTTTAAATAATTTTTAGAAAAAAATTTTGAATTATAACCTATAAAATTTTTACCATCATCTTAAAGTGTGCATGTATTTAATTATGGCAAAGCACACTAGGGTTATCTGCCTAAGAGGAGGGATGCTTTCGTGGAGGACTTTCTAAGGGAAACTGGCTCGTATACACGTTACACATGGGGAAAACCACGAAAACGCCCATGCAGCCAGCCCGTTCGCGAGATTCGAACCTCGGACCGAACTACCAGTGTTCAGCGACTTTACCGCTCGGCCGCTGGTGGGCCATCATCTTAAAGAAGGTATATTTTTAAGCATATCTGCAAAAAATTAGACCTTTTTTATACAA